AGTGCTGCTCTCCATGATTTTATACACAAAGGCCAAACAAAGCCAGAGGAACCCATTTGCCAGATCAACCTTGATCTGCACTTAAGGCTCCATCTGTCAGGCACCAGCAGCTGCCCACGGACAGGGCAGTGCAAGAGTAAATGTGGACTCGGTAAATGCAGCTTCTTCTTTTATCCAGCTGGGCTTATGTTCACTGTTTATCCCAACAAACAGCGCACACAGAAAGCCAGTTCCATGCATTTAGTAGTTGATGTGCTCTGCCACAGAGCCTTAATTACTGTCTCTGCTTAATATTATTCACTTGCTCCCTTTAAAAACCACACTTCTTCCAACTCTCAAATGCTGAGAATCAAAACTAATTACAAGCCCTGTGATATCCCAGAGTACAGAACAGAACCAGCCCCAGTTTCAGCTGCAGACAAACAGGCTGTTCCTCCACACTGTTCTCCACAGACTTCAATCAGCTTCAAAGAAAACCCTTCTGGGATGTTTTCATGCATTCTGTTAACCCTCCTGACACGATTTAAGACTCACCTACTAAACCAGGCCTCTTCTTTAATTTTTTTTCTCCCCCCTTCTTTTAATTACCCGAGGAGGAATGGGTAAAAGAAGGCATTTGTTTCCACTGAAACAAAAGTCTTAACGTTCTCTAAAAAAAAAAAAAAAAAGATTGCTAGTTTTCCTCACCACTATTCACAGATGCAGAAGGGCTGAAAACAGTGGTGGAAGTGTGAAAAATAAGGGAGCTTTTACAACCACATTAAGCAGCAAAGCTCCCGAGGTTACTCCTCTTCAGAGGAGCTGAAAGTCTGTCACTGAACTATTGCAGTGATCTACTGGCACAATGGTAACAGATTCCCGAAGGAAAAGGAAAACATATCCTGTTGGAACACACTCCTTCCAACTGTGGAGCTCCTGAAGGAACAGGAGACCACACGAGGACAACACAAACCTCTGTGACAAAGCTGGTCATTGGGCAGTGTTAAATATAAGCCAAGCACTGTCAGAGCAGGAGTTTTTCAGTCTCATTCAGCCCAGATCCCGAGATACCAATTATTAACAAATAAGCAGAGGGAGGAAGGACCTTGGTTTGGTTCTTGGTTTTATGTTTTTATAAAGCTCGTGGATTAAAACAACCAATTTCAGCAATTTCCTCCGTTACAACAATACAAAGCATCACAGAGTTTTAATAAAGGGAACATTTAACAATTAACTGCACCAGCAAAAACTAAGGATTAAAATTTATAAGGCCCAATACTTGCCAATAAAAAGGCAACTAAACCAAAAGGTCCAACAGCTGTCCCAAACAGCCTAAAATATCTCTACATGGCAAAGGAACGAGGCTCTCAATCAGCACCTCCAAGCAGCCTGCTGGAAAGGCAGAGCGGTGCCTGAGATCATTTCACCTTGTGTTACCTCACGCTGATTCCTCTTGCTGAGGTGCTGTTTATGTAGCTACTGATGTCACTGCAGAAACAGATCCTCAGAAATCCTTTTAATTCCTGCAGATCCTTTTAAATGTTTCTGCGTAGGCGAAGCAAACAATATTGTCCTCGTCTGCAGGTGGCACAGAGTCACCTGGTTCTGCTGCAGCTCCAAATCAGTTCAGACTTCCACCCAACAGCCCAGCAGTCGAGGTGCCACCACAGTGACACATACTACAGCAATCTGCTCAAGGAACAACACCCTCAGTTTTAAATTCTGTGACTTTAAAACTATCCCTGCTTGAGGTGTTCAACAGGCCGAGGGTGAAAGGGGACAGGGACACAGAGGTTCCTCCAACTAAGGATGAAGCTCAAATTCAGAAGCTCAAAGAACAAGACAATCGTTATCCACAGAACCAGCTGCTATTCTGATGCAGGATATGCACTTTTTCTGGCATCTTATAAGAGCAATTTATTGGGCTACTGAAAAAATCTCTATGTCCAGTGACAGGCTGAAGACACACAAGAAAAATATCTCCATATTCTTGTGAGACTTTAAGCTTGTTGTTGCCCTCATGAAGAGGGAAGGGAAAGGAGGTTCCCTGGGACAGCGTCACCACCACCTTTCTCATCTTCCATTACACTGAAATTTTAGGAATTTAAAGTTAATGCCAGTGCTGTTTCCTATCACTTGGCTCCAAGTCATGCCCTTAACCAGGTATCAAAAGCAGCACCTCTGCAAAAGCCACTCAATGCTGTTTGGGGCAACGTGGCCCTTGGAAAAAAGGCTGGAAAGCTGCTCCAAGAGCACCTTCCTACCTCGTGCTAAGGATACCTAAAGCAAATCTGAATACAGACTGTGCAAGCAAAATTAATGTGCCAGCAGTCATTTTGACAAAAGCAAGGTTACAACTGTGTGGGGAAACAACCAACCAACCCACCAACCCAGGAAAACCCCCCAGCTTAGATTTGGAAGGAAATGGGAGGGAGGGTGTGGAAGCTGAGGGGACAGATGGGGAACTGGGCCAACGAGCTTTTAGGATAGGCCTGTGTGATTCCCAGCAAAGCAGAGAAGATTAATTGCACAGTGTTGTCTAAGCCCTGCCCGGTTCTTTTTAATACCTTGTTTAAAGCTATGCATGAATTCATTATATCCATGCAAATTACCAAGAGCAGTATTTATACAGTAACAATATAGTGCCACCTTTCACTTGAAAAAAATTCCAATTATCTTGATTATGTATTTATTTACAGTTTATTTGCTATTACTCCCATACAGCTGCTGAGCTCAGCACAGGGGGGAAAAAAAAAAAAAGCTGTATTAAGTGCTGGATTAAGCACTGTACAGCAACAGGGTAAACACAGAATGAGATTTTAACCAAGGACTTCACAGGAGGAAAATGCAGACCTTTAACTTTCATCCATATCAGATAAGAGTATTTAAGGGAAAGAATCAAACGACTGGAAAGGATTTCCTTGCCTTAAAGCCAAGGAGATGTAAGCTGAAGACAGCTATCCCTTCTGCACACACCTTTAATTTTCATCTTTCTAATCCTTGCTGTGTCTCATTAATTTAAACTCTCTAATCCCTCTTAAAATTTTATGTAATTTGCACCCTCAGCTGCAAATACATCTTCCTGTGTGTAACAAGCTGTAAGAGTTCCTTCTGTAACACATGCTAAAACTGGGTTTTTGGATGAATTAAGCACAGCAATGTGCATTCAAGATCTCATCCTGTTGAGAAATTACCTTTTAAATCAAATTTAAAAATCAGTATATTCAGTAAAGGTTCCAGCTAAGCTCATGTCCCTCCAGAACTGAGCTCATGTGTGTTCTCACCACCCTCAGCACTTTCCAAGGCGAGTTTTACAAAGGCACAAAGAGCAAACTGAACAGAAAAGTTTCAGTGCTGGAGCCCATCTCTCCTGCTAATTACCACTAATAATGTAAAATTTAATAAGCAGATTCCTAAATTACAGAACAGTTACAAATGCCCCGATTATCACAAGGACTGTGGCTTTTCCCTGTTCTTTCACTGAGTAACCTCCTCCTACATCAGCTCCAACCACTTCTCCATCCTACCACAGCAGGGTAAAACTGAGATCCCAAACCGGTTTCCCGTCTTAATTCCAAGCCAACTCCATCTGCAATAAAACCAGTGTGCCACATTGTACTCCTGGGCCCCCAGAGCAGCTGTTCTCAACAGATTCTGAAATGTTTTTCATCCTCTGACACTGAAAATAAGATTGTCACCATACAGGCTCCCCACTGCCGCTGCTGGAGCGACAAATATCCCCCAGCCACGAGCCCCGACCAAGGAAAAACAGCTCCTCAGAATGGTTTGAAATGATTGATGAAAGGACTCCAAACTGAAGCTAAAGCATTTCCAGAGATAAGCTGCTCTGACTAACGTTGGGAGAGAGAGCTCAGTGAAAAACAGACTTCCAGGGGGAAAGGAGGAGTGTGGAAATCAGCACCTCCCACCTGGACCAGCAGCTGATCATCCCTTGGAGCACTCACAGCCACTGGAAACGCTTGAAACATCGACACCTGGACTCATTTTTTTGTAGCTGAGCTACACAGCACCTCGTGGAAAAACGAGATTTGACCTCCTGAGTTTCCCTGGGCTTCGGTTTGAATCCAGCAGTGTCACTGGGGCACGATGGGCACTTGGACAGCCAAGGGATGTAAAACCACCAGGGCCCTTCAACCAGGGCTTCCAACAGGGAAGCCAAACACAGCTCTTGCTTGAGGTGCAACAAACAACTGCAGTCAACACTTTTAAAATGCTGTGCAGGTGAACAGAGAAGTCTGTACCCGAAACGTGAGGAACACGCAGGGCTGAATAATCTCATTTTCAAGTCCAGGCTGAGGAAAATGTTAGCTGGCAGCAGCCACAGGTTAGACCTTGGAAACCTCACATGACACCCTAAAAACTTTATGTTCAGAGGCACATCCAAGACATGCAGAGCAAACCCCAAGCTCCTGGTTCTCTGCCCAGAACATCCCAGGCACCTGCTGATGCTGACACTGCTCAAGCTGCTGTGCACAGGCTTAGCTATTAATGAGGGGGGTGAAATCAGTGGCATGACAGGTACGAGATCTTGAGTCACCTGATTTGTATGTCACAGAGGACACAAGGGGAGCTTTACAAAGCAATCCCAGACCCACAAACTTTCCAGGAAGGTTTGAAGATCATTCTACATCCCAGTCAAACCCCTAGCTCAGACCAAGCCTAGCTTCAAAGTGGGAGCAAAGCCTTTAGTGCATCCCCCAGTTTAGTTTCAAAGCTCCCAGGGAGAGAGATTCCACTGGACACACCGATAATCAGCGCAGCAGAAAGCAAAAAGGGCGGCTCTTTCCTGAAGGGGACCTAAATCAGACACCACAAGACACAGCGAAGAAAAGCTTTCGCGTGCACGGCCCCGTTTGTCTCCTCGGAAAAGCTGCATCCTGCCCCCAGGACAAGGATAATTTCAATTAGCAGGGAGCACACTGTGCTGGCTGCTGCAGCCAACTGGCAGCTCTGGAGCACAAGGGCTTTCGAAGGAAACACGAGGCGCAGGAATTTCTTACCTCCGGGCCTGTACACAACGTCGTCCTCGGTGATGAAGGACGTGATCTCCCCGTTGTCGGTTCTCTCGTAGCGGGATTTCTTCTTGGGGGGTTTCTTTTTGCTCTTCTTGGTGGACTCCTCGGTGGTGGCACTGTTGTTGTCATTGTCCTCGTCCTCGCTGTGGTCGCTCTCCGCGTAGTTCTTGGCCCCTCCTTCCAAGGTGCAGCTCCTCCGGGGCCGGGAGTTCTCGCTCTCCCTGCCCTTGTCCCTCTTGTCCCGCTCCTTGTCCCGGTCTCTGTCCCTGTCCTTCTCTTTGTCTTTGTCTTTCTCCTTGTCCGCTGTCATGATTCGCCACGTGCCTTCTTCTGTCCTCTCACGGCTGGGCCTCCGTGAAAGGTAGACAGTGAGCCTGGGCTTCAGTCTTCTGAATTTCTCACTCAAATCCAGGGAAAATTCCACCACTCCAACAACCCCAGCGTTTTAAAAAGGTTCTTGAAGGGGTGACGGGAAAGAAAGAGGGGAAAAGCCCATGTTAATATAATATTCAAAATTCTTGCGATTTGTGAAAATTAAAATGAAACACACACAGACATCCCCACGTCCCAAAGCAATTCAGTCTGGAAAGCACGAAGAGTAAAACACAAAGCAGCCTTTTGAAGGCTTCCCAGAAACAGTAATTTCAGTGTCTGTAAAATGTTTGAAGCCGCCTCTCTCCTCAAAAAGGATCCTCCCAACTCCTGAAAAAAAATTCATCTGTTCACTACAGACATGCAGTAAATAATTTCTGGGATGGGAAGTGCTGGCTGAGAACACACACCACTTTATACCTGCAGCTAATAGGAAGGAAAAAAAAAAAAAAAACCCAAATCCATAAAACATTTAGGAAGGGACAAGTGCAAGAAAGGAAGAGTCTCCGGCTCTCAACTGGAAGCGAATGAAGGGCTTTAGCAAATGGCTGGATTGTTTTACATCTCAACACCACTCACGACGGATGCCCTACAAAGCTGGGACAGAGGAAAGGATGCCATCTGCCACTTCCAGGGCAATCTGTTAGGAAGTCCTGCCCCTATCCTGCTTTTCCAAAAATAGAGCCAACCTGTAATCCACAGATTACAGGAATTAATTAATTGAAACCAAACCAAACCGCAGTGGTTACAAGTGCACCAACAAAACCTGCTTTTCCATATGTAACAACAGGACCTTTCCTGAAAGGAGGGCACTTCAAAAAGAGGGCATCCAACACACAAAGGTAAATTATTTTTTTTTCCCCCCTGATTCACCAGTTTACCCACACCTAATTCCTAAGTTTTCAGGAAGCTGCTGTTTGGTGCAATGAGAACTTCCCCCGCTGTGCAGAAAGCTACAGTCTGACAGGCTGGGCCCTAAGAAGACTGATTGTTCATGTATTAAGCTTCTGAAACCACATTAGAGAAGGAAAAAGGCTATTTTCATCTTTAAGAAGTCAGCTGAGGAGTCAGTGATCCCCTGTACTTGAAATTCCTTCAGTCTGACACGAATCTCAGACCACAAGATTCCTGTCCCTGTCGACTCCCACCTCCAGCAATGGAAACAGCAAAAGAGAGAGAGAGACAAATTGCTTTTGCTGATGCAATTCAGGCTGTGCCTTGAATCTCTCAGGCATTTCCTGAATGAACAGATCAGGTAGGAAATGATTCTGTTTTCTTTCCCTGTTATAGCAGCTGCCATCACTCTGATAACACACCAGGGGAATCCAATGAAACTCCAGTGGAGAAGAGCACAATGAACCTGTCAACTGCCAGAGAAGCTGCAGGTAATAGCGATAGCAAAGGTCTACAGGGATTCAATAAGAAATGTCTTAAATTTCCAGAGGTTAGGGAATTCCCCAGCAGCAAACTTGGGAGGTTTTTTCCTCTCAGTCTGGTGAAAGGATCACACCCCTCTTCTGGCACAGCCGAGCCCAGAGCAAGCACCTTCCTCTGGCAAGTGCAAAATGTGTCTCTTTATCCTCTAAATAATTTCCAATTTAAAAAAAAAAAAACTCTCAAGGAACCAAGAGTTGTGCAAATAACCCTGGAAAAGCAGCCAGGACCTCAGTGCAGGCAGCTCCTGGCCAAGCTTTGTTTTGAAAGCAAATTCCAAGTGAACCATTTTACACCAGCGGAGTCTGTTCGAGGGTCGACACCACATCAAACCCAGTGACCTCCACGTGCCTGGTGGGTAAATCCCTTCACAGGACTCACCCCCCAAATGCACTTCCCCCCCCCCGCTCTGCTTTCCTGTCCCCATCGACCCTTTTTATGAGCAGAGGCAAAACCAGCTCTCCAGGAGAGAGAAAACCCCTCCACATCCCCCGCCAAGGAGCACAGGGGAAGCCTCCAAACATCCTCAGCTGCAGAGGGAATGCTGATGGATTCCAGCTCGGGAGCCAGGACCAACCCTGCAGGACTTAACTCCCCACATAGCTGCAGGTTTTAAGTCCTTGCTGTTTCTCTCAGATTAAATCCAAACAAAGTACTTCAGTGTGTTTTATTACAAGTCCAGTTCTTAATGGGGATTTTTTTTTTCCCTGGGTTTATTTATTTCTTTATTTGTTTTGCACAGAGGAGGAATGCTGAATGAATAAACGCCACGGTCAGAGTGATTTCATTTGCTGGAGGGCTGGGCAGTAATTAGTGGAGACCACAGTTAGTGTGTTCAGCTGTGACATTTCCAGCTCCAATACAGCCAAATGGCCACTCTCCTCCCAGCTCCCATTTCAGGAGATCCCATAAAAAGTCATTTCTACAGCCAGTGTATTTATGAACAGTACAGGCAGCCTCTTTATGTTACCAGTCCCTACCTACTGATGCAATCTCATCACGAGCACCATTCAACTTTCTCACACAAATACATCTCATTTCCAAGACTATTTCACTCTAAATGCTCCATTTCAAAAGTTTTGCAGGATTCAACCACTTCTGTCTGAGAATAAAGCAACCCCATAACCTTAAGTTTAGCTACAACAGGACTAAGGACAAAAACACAACAGAGAAAAGACGATGTTACACAAACTCAGGTGTGTAACAGCAATACAGGACTGCCAGAGGAGCAAGGAAAAATTGTTTAATCAGCAGCCACATAACAAAGATAAAGTCATTATTACCAAAAAGAAGTATATGGTGGGTTCAGCACTTGTGTCGCTCTCTGATCATTGTGGATGAACGTGGAACCCAAGCAAACACCGGCACAAACCCCACAAAAATACTCCCAGCCTTCTTTTTTGTTCTCTAAAGCAAACTGGGGTCACACATCATTCTATTGCCAGATGCAGCAGTCACACAGATGTTTAACTCTGGATTAGGACAGCAGAGGCAAACACACTGAAAATCTGGGGTTTGGCAAGCTCTGGGGTTTGGGTTTCCTGTCATTTTATTCACTGGCAGCCCCTCATTCTGCCTGTACCAAACCACCACCAAAGCAGCTGCTTCTGTCATTAAACCACAGCAGAGAAATTCAGGTTAAACACCACAGGCTGAAGGGCATTAAGAGCCTTTGATACTGGTTTACTGCTCCCTCCACTGGGAATTCATCTCGGAAAGAAGTCATTTGAGCTAAAAGGGGAACAATCACTTCACAATAGCTGAGCCTGGCACACAAAGGAGGGGGAGAATAGCCCCTGTCCATTATTTGTTCAATGCAAGTTGAAAAACCTGAGGAAAAATGTTAACTCCGCTGCAGTCACACTCTGAGAGACTTTGTTGGTGTTGTTATTTTTTAACCAGGGCCTCAGGATATGTCCACTTCTCTCCAAGTAAGTTTATTACATCCACTGTGGGATGGCTTCCTTTGTCTCCACCCCGTGTGCCACCAGACTTGAAAGGCCTTTTTTTATCTGAAATTGTTCAGAGATCAAACACGAGCAAAAAAAAACATGTTTGCAGAGTTAACTCACTGAAGCTTTCTGTTCTCTGCTTTGCAGCAGAACACGCGGGCACCGATGACTTCACAACGTGTTCAGGTGTGCTGGTTCCTGTTAAAAGGCTCAGTGATGAAGGAACGGGGCAAACTGGGAGCAGGAACCTGGATTTTGAGTCTGGGGCAGGCACGATGAAGGAAAGGTGGCACCAAGAGTGTCAAGAGAAGTCCTTCTCTAGTCAGGCCCAAAAGTATCTGGGTGGACTCTCACTAAGCCTGCCTCAGTTGCACTCCCAAAGACAGAGAACAAGAGCTGTCATGATGAAGATGGTTGTTAGATCTGCCTCTGCCTTTTCAAATGGAACCCTAAGAGATGTTATTGCCACAGTACCTTTGGAGAAATCAGGCAGGCACAATTTGACCTCTAACTTAATTGAAAAATCAGAAGTGCAGAAGTTGGTAATCACTATTTTCAAGTTATTACCCCACATTCACTCGGCTCGTGGGGGGGGTTCCTCAGCATTTGAAATCTAGCTCAAATTAAAAGTTTCAACATTTGTTCAGCCACAAATTCCCATCCTCCCAGCCCAGCCCAGAGAGCAGGACAGTGCTGTTCCCACGAGCTGCAGCGGGATCTGGGCACTGGGAGTGCTGGGAAGGCCACAGTGCAGTCACCTGTCCCACCCACCTTTGATCTGTGCACCTGCAGACCTTCATCAGAGCAAAAGGCACATGTACCACCTCTTCCCATTTTAAGTACTTAAACCTCTTAACTAGAATTAAAGAGTCAGGTTTTAAAGATAATGTGAAAGCCAGCGCACCAGAAATGCTATGAGACTGTACCAGGAAGGCATCCAAGTGCAGAGGGGAACTAAAAAGATGGGCAAGAGCTCCTTTTTCTTATTTAAGCCAAACAGATAAATCTTTTAACAAGATTTGTTTGGTCATGTGTTACCAGCCTTAATAAACACAACAGGACCATTCTTCTGTAAGCTTTTAGTCTCCTATTGCCAGATAAAAAGGCACTGTTTCCAGCAAATGCCAGATTAAAGGAAGTATGTGCTGCCACTGCTGGAGTTCCTGCCCTGGACTTTTTCTAATTTGGATGTCAAGGGAGAATTTTAACTCTGTTTCAGTGCAAGGGATTAAGTTTTTACACAAGAAATAAAGAAGGAAAACAGCCCATAAAGGTTCCCCCCCTAAACTTATAAGGCTTAAGAAAAACTTCTGGGATCATGTGTGGAAAATAACCCTGATAATCAATGTGAGGGAAAAGAAATCTCAGCTGCCACTGAGAGAATGAAGAGTTAAACTCCAGGTATCCAAGTGGAGAGAGCTAGACTGTGGTTCAGATCCTCAGAGCCTGCTCCAAGCACCCCAGGAGAGGAGTTCCCACACAGCTCCCACTTCCCCAGATCCCACATTGGGATAAAGCTCATTAACTGCAAGGGAGCCACACACACCTTTAACCTTTAGGTTCCAGAAAGAGACCAAGAACATCTGTTATCATCTTTCTCCCACATTCTTTCCTTATCATCCATTTGCTGTTGAAAACAGGAGTTGCAGATATTCAGAGGGATCAAGTATTTAAGGAGTTCATGGGGGATATTCCTTG